GTACGTGCGCAAAAAAAATATATATATATATACCGTGTGCACACTTTTAACGCCAGTTTCACTTCCGGTCTCGTGCAAACAGGAAGAAAAAGCGATAGATTTATAGATTTACAGACTCATTTATTGATTTATTTGTGATTAAAGTTAGTTTCAAGTGTCGCTCTGTGAAAAACAGATCAACCAGAAGGAAAATGACACGAAGGGCGAGGCCAGGATATTGAATTATTTATGTGAATTTAATTTAATTTAATTTAAACTCGTTTCTGAGTTTTCAAAGCTCCGGGTTTTGCACACGGCTCAAAATCACGCAAATATTTGAGGTGTAATTTCTCATAAACATTTATTTTTTGCATTTTATTTTAAGAAAGTTCAGTTTGGAGCAAATGTATTTGTGATGTACTGCAAAGTGCACAGGGCGTGTACCTGAACGCAGTAGTAGTAGTAGTAGTTATTGTAGTAATAGGTGCAGTAGCAGTAGTAGTAGCAGTAGAAACAGTAGTAGTAGTTGTAGTAGTAGTACTTGTAGTAGTAATACTTGTAGTACTTGTAGTAGTAGTACTTGTAGTACTAGTACTTGTAGTACTTGTAGTAGTAGTTTAGTTGTAGTAGTACTTGTAATAGTAGTAGTAGTAGTAATAGTAGTTGTAGTAGCAGTAGTAGTATTTGTAGTTGTACTTGTAGTACTTGTAGAAGCAGTAGTACTTACAGTAGTAGTTGTAGTAGCAGTAGTAGTTGTAGTAGTTGCAGTAAAAGTAAAAGTATCACATACTTAAGTAAAAATATTAAAGTACCCGTTTAAAAATGTACTTAAAGAGTAAAAAGTAAAAGTATTTTGCAGATTTTGAAATTTTATAAAACTTCAAATGTGCTGACGTTGATACAGATTTGTTTTATTTGTAGAATTTTATTTAATTGTGAAAATCCCCTCAGTCTCAGTAAATAATTTAAAAAAGTACTTTTACTTTTCCGTCCTGTTTAAAAGTGTAGTGGAGTAGAAAGTACAGATACTTACTCTCAAATGTAGTGAAGTAAAAGTAAAAAATATTCACTTTAAATGTACTAAAGTAACGTGTAGATACTTCAACTTTATACTTAAATACAATACTTGATAGTAGTAGTAGTAGTAGTATTTGTAGTAGTAATTTTCAGTGTTTATTTAACAAAGTTTATATCTTGTCAGTTCTGAATTTTGACACTGGAACAAAGAAAAACTCACATAAAAGTAAAAGTATCACATGAAAAAATGTACTTAAGTAAAAGTAATAAAGTACCTGTTTAAATTTTTACTTAAAGAGTAAAAAGTAAAAGTATTTTGTGTACATTTTGAGTCTGTTAAAGCTTCAAATGTAAAGATTCTGATACAGACTTTGCTGAATTTTGTGCATTGTTTTTTTTCTTGCTGTTTTTATTTGTATAATTTTGTTTCTCAAACTATAAAAAAACGCCGTTTAGACTTTTGTGCAGGTCTCAAACTATAATACCAAAGTGTAGTTCAGTAAAAAGTAGAAATGTGGAGAAGAAATGTTTAAAAAAATCCACTTTAAATGTTCAAAATCTGTACTTCATCACAATACTTTCATGCTTTTATTTTGTAGTAGCAACATTAGTATTTGTGTTATTAATTTGCAGTATTTAAGTTATATTTTGAGTTAATTGAATCCTGCAGCACAGTTTTTTCTCTCTCAGCACAGTTTCTCAGATTCTCAGCACAATTAGAATCACGGGAGAGAATGTTTTTGCGACAGCAGCTCCGCCCGGACGCAGACAAACGCGCTGGAATTATGTAAGAGGCACTTTATCCGGAGTTTGAGCTGCAAATGAAACACGTCCGATCCAACGTAAAACACAGCCGTGAAACGTTTTTGAAATGTTTTTGAAATGTTTTTGCACTTGAAACTTGGACGCAGAAGCTCCACGCGTCACAAAAACTAGAATAACAAAAAGAAAACAGAGACATTTTTATTATAAATTCAAAATAAAAACAAGAAACGAGAATGCACATATACGTCTATAAAAGTCAAAATAAAACATAAAAATATAATAATACAAATATATCCCAGTTTATACAAAAGGTCGTAAGGAAAAACAACACAAAGACGGAATAATATCCAAGATAACTTATGTAAAGAGAAGATCCACAGTGATTCTAGAATGTTCTGTGGAGCTGCAGCGTGTAATTCAGTCACTTGTAAAAGCAAAAAAAATGTTTAAAAATGTTTGTGATGTTTTCAGGTGAGTACAAGAGTCTGTAATCTTGTACTGCAAAGTGCACGGAGTATTTGTCTGAAGGTAGTAGTAGTAGTAGTAGTAGTAGTAGTAGTAGTAGTAGTAGTAGTAGTAGTATTTGACACAGTGGTTCTAGAATGTTCTTTTTAGCTAAAATTCTGTCAGAACTTCAGTCTGCAGTTCAGTCTGTGTCCACTAGGAGGCATCACTCTGTTTGACAGCACCTGATCTAAAAACTATCAATAAATATCAAGATATCGAATAGTTTAATGTGATGAAACAGTATCGATATTGTGGGCTGCCATGTCAAGATAATTTTTTGGTTTATTTTACTAAATTATTTAGTTCCAGCTTCAGTTTTGTTGTTTGTTCAGAGGAAGAACATTTTCACAGTTTTGAGGATGAAACCGGGCGTGGTTCCTGTGAACTTTGCACAAGAAGAAGTGATTTAACAAAAACTTTTAGAATCACAGACATGATTTACACTTTATTTTTTATTGAATAGTTTTGAATCAATTTGAAATATATATCGTATCGAATCGAAAGTTCGACATATGTAAACCTCAACTATTGACTAGACGTGTTTTTCTTTTGTTTTGGTGCGATTTGGACGATGAATTTTGTGCTTTATTTGTTTTTTGTATGAGCATAAATGGAAACAAAACCTTGTCATCTTTTAAAAATAAAGATAAGTAATTTAAAAGTGATTGTATTTGTGGTCGAGGGATTAGTTGATGGAACAACCTGAGTGACGATTTTAAAAACGTCTAAAAACAGAATAAAGCATCTAGAGCTTTGGCATGAATGAATTCTGCTTTAAACTTTGTTTATTTTAATAAGTCGTAAGTGAAATTATAAACTCAAACTTGTTTCTCACACGCTGCTTTTCTTTCTTGGAATTCTGTCGTTGTTTAATCGGGTTTGGCATTGAAGAATTTTGACTTCAGCCTAAACACTTTCGCTCGTGATCCATGCGGTTGGAGTTTATGTTTTGTTTAGTTTAGTTTTGTAGAGCTGCAAAATGACAGAATAAAACTAAAAAAAAAAAGAAAAGTATCGTATCGTGGCCTGTGTATCGAGGTGTTTATCGTATCGGCAACTTCCCCGCCCTTTTTTTCCGTGTAAATTCATATAATTCATGCTCCTTTTTTATGTAACGGATAAAACGTCTTTCCTTATTTCAGAGAAAGGTTGCTTTGTGTTTTTATGGAATGGAGTGGGCAGAAAACTGGCAGAAGTCGCTGAAATGTGAGTTACAGTCACTTGTAAAAGGCTCGAGCGAAATGGTGCCTTAATGGAAAAAGCTCGTGGTCTTAATGTGTTTTAAATCCCGTCGAGTTTGACGCAGACGGAGGGCGGCCGCCGCACTCACGCTCCTCTGGATCTGAGGAAAGTCCAGGTTTATAGAACAGAACAGACCACTGCGCTTTCCGGATGTTTCCATTTGATTTCAGGCTTAATCTATAGAGCACATTGTCTTTGAACACGACTGTAAATCAGAAAAACTCAAACGTTTGCTGGAGTTTTTTAGCTTCTGCCAGTTTTCTACCCTCACTGTTCCATGAAAAACACAAAGCAAAAAAACTTCTCTTTGAAACACGGAAAGAGTATTTCTCCGACTCATGAAAAAAAGACCATAAACTGTGTGAACTTCCACAGAAAATGTAGAAAACAGAAAAGGAAGCAGGTGATGTCATTTTAGTCCACGTTCAGACGGCACAGTTTAAAGATCAGTTTGGATTTTTTTGTGAAATCAGATTTTTGTCGCGAGCTCGTTCACATTTCCAGTTAAACGCCCTAAAAGTGTCACACAAGAACATTGGAGGAAACAACGTTAATGTTTACGGAAGTCGCCTAAACGTGGACGCAGCATCGACCTGGAGATTTTACACCTGAACATGTACAGATTTGGAGATTGACCTGTTCTATTTAGTTCCAGCTTCAGTTTTGTTGTTTGTTTACAGGAAGGAAACTCATTTATGCGACACATTTGACATTTTCACTGTTTTGACGATTAAAATGTTTGTGTTTCGTATGAACTTTGCACAAGAAGAAATGGTTTAAACAGAGACTTTTAGGTCACATTTACACTGAGGCGAATCATCGTATCATTATATCGAAAACGATTTGCGTCCAGACTCGTCGTTTCTGTGTTCGTTCCCTCCAAACAGTAACACGAAACCTCCTGAAACACGAGTCACATGACCAGACTGGCCTCACAACGTCACATGAGCGGTAAAATCAAGGAAGTGTTGCACTGTGTCTGAAGTTGCAGGCAGCCGACAAACGTGAAAACGTGAAAATCTTCTAGTTGTAGTTCGGCTGTTTCTTGTTTGTCTTTGTGTTTCTCACATGACGACGTCATGACCCCAGAGAATCAGAAGGAGCGAGTCACAGTGACACAGTGTCCAATCAGGACGAGACTCCAGCTCCTACATCAGAGGATCAGAGTTTTCAGGAGTCCACACAGTCCCCGTCACATCTGGACCAACATGAACTCGTGGAGCTGGAGGCACCAGATCGTTCAGACTCTGGAGACGTTTTCTACGGAAGCCGAGAGTCACAACAAACGCAAATGCCACAACACATTAAAAAGCCACAACGGAAATGACCGCGGGACTCTATTTTCCGACGGACCGATCAAGCGGCAAGTGAAGAAGAAGAGTCCCGCGGTCACTTCTGTTGTGGCTTTTTAATGTGTTGTGGCATTTGCTTTGTGTTGTGGCATTTGTCTTTGTTGCGGCGTTTGCGTTTGTTGTGTCTCCTCTCGGCTT